TCCTTCTCCTCAGGGCTGCTCTCGATCCAACATCTAGAACATGTTCTAGAACATGCTCTAGAACCGACAAGTGAACTAGAACACGTTCTGGAACCAAATAGTGAGCTAAACTTCAATCCAAAACAAAACAACTGTCTTGACCCAAAAAGTGAGCTCGAAGTTCAAAACCATCTTCCTGAACATGAAATTGAGTTATAACAATCAGGAACTAGTAAGCAAATTGAATCCCAAACTAGTTACGTAACAATGAGGAACCAAACCCAATCTAGAACCGACAAGCAACCTGGAACCCAATCTAGAACCAACCAAACCTAGAACATAGCCTAGAGCCTGCTCTAGAACCAACAAGTGATCTAGAACCATGATCTGAGTTAGAACCCTGCCTAGAGCCAAAATTGAGCTCTGGAGTCCCCAACACAAGGAGGACATGGAGCTGCTGGAGCAAGTCCAGAGGCGGGCCACGAAGACGATCTGAGGGCTGGAGCACCTCTCCTATGAAGACAGGCTGAGAGAGTTGCGACTGTTCAGCCTGGAGAAAAGGCTCTGGGGTGATCTTTTTGCAGCCTTCCAGTACTTAAAGGGGGCCTACAGGAAAGCTGGAGATGGACTTTTTACAAGACGTGTAGTGATAGGACAAGGAGCAATGGCTTTAAACCAAAAAAGAGTAGAATTAGGTTGGATATAAAAAATAAATTTTTCACTCAGAGGGTGGTGAGGCACTGGAACAGGTTGCCCAGATGAGTTGTGGCTGCTCCATCCCTGGCAGTGTTCAAGGCCAGGTTGAATGAAGCTCTGAGCAGCCTGGTCTAGTGGAAGGCGTCCCCGCCCATGGCAGGGGGATTGGAATGGGATGATATTTAAGGTCCCTTCCAACCCAAACCATTCTGTGATTCTGTGACTCTGTGATTAATCTTTCAATGTCTAATTTCTTGAGGTATTTGAGCACACAAAAAGATAACTTTATCCTGTATAACAATCACTCTGGCAAGCCTACAAAGCAGGAGGCACCAACCAGAGCAGATGAGATCAGCACTAGGACTGACCAGAGGAAGCATTAGAGAGCTCTGTACCCATCCTGGGTCATAGAGTGATTTGGCACTTTTTCACAGTGTAAAATAAGAATGAGTCCTGAAGAGTCTACTTGAAATCAATGTGTAATTTTATAAGATTTCTGAGATTTGAAGTACTAGAAAATATTTCCTGTCTTTTGTGTGTGAGTGAATGACTGTTTCCTGAGGTGTTCGAAGACTTACGGATAGCATCCTTCTCAATTCTGTCTCTCTGGAACACTAATAAATAACAGAAAAAAACATTAGCATCTTCTTCCTGTGCACAATGGTATGTGAAAATTCATGTTGTATTACTATTTATCTTCATCTCTTTAGCAAATGATGTGTTTACAGAGACTGGAGTATTACCTTATTGGACTTGAGGCTGAATCAGGATCCCGTGCCATTACTGTTCCTATTATTGTCCCTAACTCAATATCTTCATGCACCTCAAAAAGGTAGGAAGATCTGCTGAAGACAGGAGGTTCATCTACATCTTCTACAGAGATTTTCACAATAGTTGTATCTTTGAAAGGCCCAAGATAATAGAAACGTGGATCCACATGGGTATTCTCAGCTTCTACTTTCAATGTATAAAGTCGTCTCGTTTCATAGTCCAGTGGCTAAAAATGAAGATGATGATAAAATTTATTAAATTACATTATATGTTTACAGATGTTGACCTGTATTCATAATGGAAACTGAAGAGGACTCAAGCCTTGTCAGATCTTGCCCTGGGTTGGAAACCCCAATACAGTTCAAATTTTCCACAGCACAGCCATCACTTTCTCTAGTAAGAAATTTCCATGGTTCTTAGAGCAAATTTCTCTTCCTAGATATTATTTGAATGATCATAGCATCAATGCAAAAAATATTTTCAGTGCAAATTTACCAATTATTTAGTGAATTTTGCAGCTGTTTCACAAGAATATGGATTTGAAATAAATGTATAAGGATTTAAAATATTTGCAATACAGACTTGAAATACATTTCAGAACAAGGTACTTCATACTAATATTTCTCAGGAAATGCTATAAATTCTTGGATGACAAATGTAGCTGGCCTCAAATATCAGGAGCATTTTAGGTTACTTTTAGTGAGAGGGTGTATCAAAGTTCTCTATATCTAAAGAAACAGCAAGAGCTTAATCTTGTTCTTTTTCATTTAATTCAATGAAGCCAACATCAGAAACTTTTTTTTTTTCAAATAGATTTAACTTCTTTGTCAGTAGTTCCTTTTTAAAATGGAAGGAGGAAAGGTTCAAGGTTATAATTAGAAACCATTCTGGATAAAAAGAACCTCTGTCCCTTCAGATTTTTCTAACTGTCATAGACAAAAAAGTGTTAGCTAATCAGTGACACAGAGAAATAAGCAAGCTGAGAGTTTACCTTTCTGACACAAAGACTACTTCATTAACTCCCTCAAAATCTCAGGCAAATATCAAACTGGTGGTTTTCATTCGTCAAAATAGATGGTAGAAGAGTTGGGTTTTCTGCCTAACTGCTTTTAAAAATGTCCTGGTTTTGGCTGGGACAGAGTTAGTCTTCTGTTTAGTAGCTAGAACAGCTCTGTGTTTTGGATTACGTACGGGATTTGTTAATAAAAGAATGCTGATGGTGCACCGATGTTTATAGTTGGTGCTGAGACATAAAGAAGTTTTCAGCTTTCCATGTTTTGTCAGGGCGCAGGAGTGCAACAGGCTGAGGCAGAGCATGTGGGGTACAAAGGGCCCACAACTCCTCTTAGGATTTGAAAAAGATTGAGGTCCAAATTGGCCCGTAGAATGTTCCACATCATGCAATGTCATGCCCAGAATATAGATGAGGGTTGACGGAGAAGTTTGGGGCTCTCTTAGACTCTTGGACTCCCAGAGTTCTATCTCTCTCTTGTGTTCTCTTTTCAGGCCTCTCGCTCTTCCAGCATTGCAGTTTTGGGACTTACCTGTTTAAAGACCGCTTGCCGGGATGGGATGGGTGTTGGCCATCAGGTGGTGAGCAATTGTACTGTACATCACTAGTTTGTATCATTATAATTACATATATTCATATATTATTATAATTTTATAATTATTCCTTCAAATTATAATTATTATTACTGTTAAATTGTTATTATCTCAACCCATGAGTATTCTTCTCCTTTTCTCCTTTAATTCTCTTCCCCATTCCCCAGGGAGTGGGAGAAGGTGAGCGAGTGGCTGTGTGGTGTTTAGTTGCTGGCCAGGTTAAATCATGACAAAACACAAATTAATGTTTGTGACAGATGGCAGAGTGACAGCCTAGATATTTAAATATTCTATTTAAGAGCAGAAAGATGCAGTTCAGTGAAAGAATGAGTTTCCCCACTGCCCCAAACTTACTTAGAGCAGAAGGGAGAGTATCTATGAATACAATTGAGACATGCAACACAGTGCTGCTATTTAAGCTAGATATGAGATTATTGATGTGCCTATAAAGTGCAGCATGCTACTGTAAAGGGATGCTGGCTTCAAGCCTAGAAGCAAAGAAGCCATGTTGGTCCTGCTTTATTCTAATTAGCTGGTTTAATTTGCCAGAAAATATGCCACGAAGATGTAGTTAACTTGCTACTAGTACATTCACAGCCAGTTTGAACATCTCTTCAGGCTACAGTGCAAAATATGGATATAAAATGTGTGCATTATACAGATATTCTGACATATCACCAGTAATGAACAAAACTGTTGCCCAAATATATGAAATTGTGGCAATGCTATTATTTTGTCTGTGAAAACTTGTACAGAAAAACTTGCACAGAAACAGTTCTTTTGCAGCAGGTATTAAGTTCAGACTTAATAACTTAAGGAACATAAGCTATTTTTAGTTATTCACCATTGAAAACAGCAATGACAATCAACGTGGCTAAATAATAAAAAAAAACTGAATAATATTTTCATAAATGAACAAACTGAGTGTGTATTCTTCCTCGCTAGTTAATGCTATTGTCTATGCTATCTGAATAAGCTACTTATTAATCAATATGAGAAAGCATCCTGCAAATTGCAAAAGGTGTCAGATTGCCAATGACAAAATGAGAAGATCTTGTTCATTAGCATTTGTTGGTGACATTTTTGAAGCTGCTGTGTTATAACTTACGAATTTTTTATGCTTGATCCTGTTATTAGACTGTTTTTTCAAGACTGCATTGATTTGATATAATATTCCGTGTGAAAATCTGAAGCAAGCAAGAAAGGAGCAACTCAAGAGAAGCCTTCACAAACTTCTAGAAAGAGGAGAAATATTAACCCCCAAACTTTATATTTTCATTCCTTCCCAGGTAAACTACAATGCCTACTATGAACATAGAAGAACATAGAGTTTAAAAAGGAACACACTCTGACCTTTGAAGAACTTATATTTCCCTTGTTTCCCTTGGAGCTATATTTTATAGTAGTGTTCAATTTGCTATTCTTAAGGATAGCTGTTTTAAAAGCTAAAATAAACAGTGCTTTATGTTAGAAATGCTGCCTGAACTCTTTAGAAACACATCTCAAAATCCAAAAGAACAGATTTGAGTGACTTCTGGAAGGGAAATTGTGGAGGAGCAGGAGAATGACATTTCTAAGTGTGAGATCTTACACCTCTGAAAGTTCTCTGACATGCAAGACAGAGGGCAGAACTAGAGTTAGCTCTGAAAGAAGGACACCATCGTTATTCACTGCTCCTGTGTTAACCACCTGACATGTTTGAAACAGCAACAAAACAATATACCTTGTGACTCAGCCTCCATGAGTGTGTGTGTGTTCTGGCATACTCTGGTCACCTAAGTTGATGAGAATCTCCTAGATAAATGTCTCTCAGGAGTGAGTGAACTGCATATGGCTTGCTGTAAAAAATAGGTTACATGAATACTAAAGTCCGTATTTGAAATCACGGAGATAATTAATACTAACACATTGGGGATGGTCCATTTTTTACATACTTCGCTGGAAATAATGCTTTACATCTATGCTGCATCTCAAATATGATTACTGCCTGCTATTTCCAGTCCATCTCAAAAGGAAATAGTACCATTCAGTCACTGATGGGGGATGATTGCAAGTGTTAAGCAGTTAGAACATGCCATTACATGATCTAAGCACTTATTTTCCAAGGAACATTTGTGGCATAACATTGACATCAAAATAATTTAGTGAATGTTGTTAACAGACACCTTTCGCACAGTTATGATGCCTTCCTGTGTGTCCTTCTGTGTTACAATATCAAACATATCTGTCCCATCACCATCTATAATTCGGTACTCTACTTCTGCATTTTTTCCAGTGTCTGCATCTGTGGCTTTGACGCTGCCAATGGCTGTCCCAACTGGGGAGGACTCGGGAATGCGGAGGTGGATGGTACCTGTCAAAGAGACAAAGAGCCACTCAGGAGCTCCAAAAGCCAGAACACATGCATTAAGTTACATTGTGTCACACAATAGCTGATTACATATTTTTGTGTATCTTTTATTCTAGAGAACTTGCCATTTAATACAGGGAGGATGGGAGAACGTGAGGCAAAGAACTATGAAGGGGAAAACTTTAGGTAGAAGAATGAAAACAAAATGGTAGAAAAACAAAATCGTAGAAAAATAAGATTGAAAAGGGCCTCTGTTCTCCTATGTCAAAGAAGAATCAACTATGTCTGTACTTTTCTTGACTATGAAATTCCTTTTACATCATCTGGAAATATTGCTCTGTGTTCTTTTCACTCTGCTTTTTCCCCTTGAATATCTAAGGTGAATCTTTTGGGATACATTTTACATCTGTTTTATCATGGAACCAAGACGAACAGAATCTCGTAACTTCACGGGCCAATTCTAAGCAGCAGATTAACTTTTCAGCTTTCAAAACTAGATAGATAAAATATTAAATAAATTCGAATGACATCTTAATGCAGGGATAGGTTCTTGAAAATCCACAAGCAAAAGGTGTGCCTATACTTGTTAAAACAGTTAATTCATACTTAAACAAGGCTTATGAACATAGCAATTTTGATTTTGTGCTACTTTTCCTAGCTTGGTTGTATCCCTTTATTGTGGTGTCATATAGCTGACAGAGAACATAGGAATAAAACTGTCATCATTCAGATATGCTGCAATAAATAGAAATAAATATCTTAGTGTACATTTTAGCGTTCTATGTCCTAGCTTTACTCTGAAAACTGTAAATAAGGGTTGAGATCTCTGGTCCCGTCTGTCAGAACATACGGTAGGAAAACACGTGGGACGCATAATGCACTATGAAGAATTCTCAGAAAAAGATTTTAAAATGAATGCGGATACAGCTGTCATTCCTAAGATGAAAGTTATGTCATCAAAGCTCTATTGAAAAACATTTTCTTCTCTGGCCTTAGTTAAGTGTTCTAAGATTTGTCATTTTACTTACAGACTTCCTAAGGTAAGTAAAGTGAGGAGAAAGATAGTTCAGTTAAGAGAACACAAATCGGAAGCAGTAAAGACCAGTAACCACAACAGGAAAAAGTTGAAGAGGATAACCAAAAGTCTATACATATATACCTTGTTACAAATAAGAAGTACAGAAAAGTCCATAAAGGAAATTATTAGTTTTGTGTGATCAAGAAGAATCCTGAGAAGAGAGCAATGGCAAGGTAGTACAGGAAGGCCACTGGCAACATGATCTTATCGTATCTTCAGGAAAGCACAAGGGAGTTGTGAAGATTTTCAGTGTTTCTTAATAGACTGTATTACAAGCCAGCTACAGAGTGACAAAAGAACTGGGTTTGGTTCTGGGAACACTCATAGGAAAAGAAAAAAAATATTCGTTGAGATGTTTGAAACTGCCTCTCTTTCTACAGAACTATTTTTTTCTATTCCTTTATGTCACAGTTTGCTAAACTAAGAAAAAAAAAAGCAAAAATTAAAAAAATAAACAGATTCACATATAGTTTGTAATCAAATGTTGAATGAAAAATATTGAAATTGAATTTCTTCATACAATTTTACTTAGACAGTTTTGATACGGAACAGTAGCAGAATTATTACTTTATGGCCATATACACTCCACATTTTATTTATATGAATTTATTTTTGCTCAGTTACATTTTGGTGTTTCAATTGAGTGATTTCTCTTGCGTTTACTCTGACATTTTCATTGCCTTTCTCTAATACCGAAATCTGTGTACTTTGCTACGTTAGTATATAATCTCTTTGTAATCGCCTAATCATTAAAAAAGTGGAAGAAAAAAATAGCCTCTGCTCCCATTTAGTATTTATTCAGTACTATGTGAGACTATGGTGAAAGACCACTTTCTTTTTCACAATTATTTTTAGATTATAATTAGGTTTATGGTGTGTCAACTATTCCCCACATTTTTTTTCTGGAGACCTTAAAACTACATCCCCAAGCTGTGCCTTGTGGACACTACTTTAACTCCCAATGCGATACTCAACTCATTAATTTAGTCCACAAAGTTGTAAGAGCTTGTATCTTGAATTGCTAATAAGGCAGTGGAAACAGAGAGTGAAAATAACCAGAAACATATAATCTGAAAGGTAATTTTCTGTCTAACCTATCCATTTATAGAAATCTCCACCATAGTATGAGACACTTCATTTTATTATTTTTGTCACTGAAGACATTTAATGCATTGACTAAGTATGGGTTGCAGTGCAGCTTTAGATACTGTATCAGAACACAAACTACACCAAGTAGAATTATTCTTGCAAAACTCTGCTGTCAATCCTTTTTCTCTCACTTCTATTCTTCCTCTACGAGAGTAATTTACTGTTTGCATTTACTCCAGTCAGTGATGTTCTCTCATTTGTTTATCAGAAATAAAAATAGGAGGATCAAGGAAAGGAAAAGTTTTTCCATATACTAAGAAAATCAGCTGGAAGATTAAAATCTACACACTTGCATCTGGAAATACTTCAGTCAGTCATAAAGAAGAAGAAGCAGTTTTATTCATGTTTACCCTTCTTCCCATTTGCTTTTGAATAAGCAAATAATGTAAAGGTAGATTTTTTTTTTATACAGTAATATAGGCTACAGTCTCACAGGGGGCGTGGGTTGCCATAACTCATTGGACTAAATGCAATTAAATTCCTTGAGGAAGAATAAAAGTGAGAGAAAAAGGAGTGAGTTTCAGTCAGACTCAGGCGGCTCAGTCTGTAAACCACTTTTTCCATCTATCATTGGTCAACACCATCTCCTTACTTCTGAGAACATTTGGAAATATTACAGTTAAAACAGAGATCCAATATCTGAGGTCTTTGATGGCCTTTCTGTGCAGAACCTTGATAACATTTAAACTTTTATGTTTCTTCAGAAGAACAGGCATTGCTACCTATATGGTTTTCAGGAAATCTGTAAGAGGAGAAAAATGTTCTGAAGAATCCTTGCTCTGTTATCTAAACACAGGAATTAATGTCTCTTCTGTTTTTTTTTGGTTTTTTTTGATAAAGTGTGAATATGTTTGTCTCATGACTCTAATACACATCAGATTTTTATTAACAGAAGAGAATAAGAATAATTTAACTTAATCGATATCAGTTCCAGTAGTCTCATTGAACTCTATTAAAATCAGGAATCATTCTAATGTGTATTTCCATTTTGAGATTAAGTATATTTTTTTTTTAAAGTCAATAGATATTTTTACTTTTATATGTCTAGTAAAGTGAGTCAACTTTATAAATTTTTGAGCTTTCATTTCCAGTGAAACATACATTTATATTTAGCAAAAATATTAGAAGAAAGTGGAGAGAGAAAAAAAACCCAACACTCCTCATCCCACCCTCTATGAAAGTAAGACTGTGAGTTTCTTTAAAGCAAAGGTCAAATCTGATTTACACTGACATTAATAGAAAAATGTAGAGATATTTCTGAGATACTGCATCAAATCCTTATCTGACTCAAATATGACATTAGACTGCCAAATAAGGCATGTTCAAATGGTTTAAAAAGTTGATTACATCATTCTGTTAATTTAACACAGTGTTTAAGAAAGAAGGAAAAAAAAGAGCATAAATATGCATGTTTGATGCTTATATGCCGTCTTAAAATTTTCTGCTGAAATTAGCTTTTCCGTAAAGCTTTGAACATGACACCTCTTTGAATAGCCTTTCTCAATAGGTCCAGAGAGGAGCATTCCTCACCTATACAGCACTGGAATTATCATAATCCTCTATATACAAATAGAAACAAGAAAACTAATAAATCAAAAAATTGTGGAAATACAAAGAACATAAAATGACAAACTAACAATAAATTCTGTCCAGAATAGGGCCCGTGTGGAAATGCACAAACTATAAGTACTCAATTGTTCATGATTTTTCTATTTTGAGTGTATATATGAAATCATATGCCCATAAACATCTTAGCTAAACACATCTATATTAACTACAATATTAAATTGAACAAAATTATTTACTACATTTGTGCCATAAAGAGCATGTTAAAATCAGAATCATTTGAAGCTGTTTATGTTATTGTGAGCCTGAAGGCTGCTCATCAGTAACTACTACATTCAGTAGAGTTTTATAGAGGAAAAAATAAGTGGTGAGGATACTCTCAATCCTTTAGCTATTAAGTATGTTCAAATCACCTTGCAAATATTACAACTTCAGTATACACAAAAGGCTTCAGATGTCCTTAAAACATGTAACCCTTTAGCAAGCTTGATGTTCCATAGTTTAATATTTCCATGTTACAGAGAAACCAAGAATGTTGTTTGTGTTTTAGTTTGAGGATACGAAATCTTAATCGTTGTACTGCCAGAAGTCAACAAGCATTATAAAAGGCTTTGGTAAACTTAAGCTGAAAAAAAAAAAAGTTAAATGTCATTTACTTTGGGAAATTTTCTATTAGGTTTTGTAACACGGTAACTGGAAAAGTACAAATCTGTTTAATTCCCTTCAAGTAATTTCTTTTCCACATTCTTCAAGATTAAATATTTAAGCAGATACTACAATTCAAACATTTCTGCATATCTAGAATTACTACATGTTTTATTTTCCAGTGGGGGAGTATATGGGATTTAAGCAATAGGTAAGGGAAAAAAAAAAACTTGCTCTAATGCTCTTATGAGTCTACCTACCAGTCCCTCTCATAGTACTAGAAAGTGTTCCAGGTTTGCTGCAGTTTTATTTGACCATGTAACCGTCTTCCTAACAAAAAAATGCTGTAACATTTAATATACTGCTTTAATAACAGCGAATAAATCAGTACATAAGCCTTTTGTTCATGTGTGCCCCATAATCTAGATTTACTCTAAATTAAACCAGATGGTGATTGCTTAACTCTTTAGTTTGAAGCTTTTACAGTGCAAGACAACTATTAAATGCAGCTTACTCTGGGGGAATCGAGGTGGATTGTCGTTGACATCAGTCAAAGTGATGTTCACGGTGGTGGTCCCTGATAATCCACCCATCTGGCCTCCCATGTCCTTTGCCTGGATAACTACTTGGTACTGCTCCCTGTTCTCTCTGTTCATGTTTGGCAAAGCAGTCCTGATGATGCCTTAAATAAATAAATAAATAAATAAATAATTGTTAATAATCTCTTTATTTTTGATGTGCAGCAAACTACTGTATCTTTTTTGTTTCAGTCTATGAAATACATTTCTAAAATATTCATTTCATGTTTTAAAGTGCCAATTTCTGTTCATAAGCTTTATAAATAGTCTTCAGTACAGGCTATCTCTTTGTTGAACAAAATCTTCTCTCTACATCACAGCTCCCTTTCCAGTTTACATGTCATATTAAAAATGATTTAAGATATTTATGCACAAGGTTCAAGAGTAGAAAGAATACCTTTTTTTATTCCAAGTAGAACCATTAAGAAAAAAAGAACAACATTTTCTGTGACACAAACCTTTATTCTTGCCTTTATCAGAAATGTTGCTATTTAGATTCTTAAGCTATCAATAGTATCACTGTAAAGTTACTTATGCTTCACAGTGTCAGCTGTAATAACACCAAGTTTTTATATTTATCACAAGAATTACAAATTATGAGGAAAAAAGCAAGAAATTATTTTAGTTAGCTTTTAAAATTCATTTTTAGGTGATTCAAGATATTTAAAATGAAAGAAAAAGTCTACATTTTATAGTAAATGGAAATAATGACAATTTTCCTGACCTGTTTCTGGTTCCACAGAGAAATATGGCTGTCCCTGAAGTATGCTGTAAATTACTCTGGCACTGTTTCCGTATGAAGGGTCATCGGCATCAGTAGCAGTAACTTGCACGACAGAAGTACCTGAAACATCCAAAATCAACTTAGTTTCACATGGTACTAGGTGGAGATTCCAGAACATCAATTTTCATTTGAGCAGACTCCAAAGAAAATTTCAACTAAATGTCAATTGGACTTTTCAAATACATTTTATGATCTTATAGTCAACTTCAGGTACATTTTTCCCTATTCCAGGATCTTATTCTACATAAATTGAATCTAAACTTTCCTAATCCCACAATTGCGATTAAGATCTAGTTAGCAAAGGTAAACAATAGCTATGGTTGAGTTGAATTCTTATCCTTACCCAGCTACAATCATTATATACTCACTTATATATTATATATCACTTATATACTCACTTCCTCTTTTCAGAAGACTTGTTTTTATTACAGTAAATATCTGCTTTCCATTATCTGGAACAGGTATTTTTGTGTGTGTGTCCAATAATATCAACATGATATGAAACTACACATGCAAGAGCATGACAGAAAAAGGTGGTCATTGGAACTTGGGAAAAACTAGTCACTATTTCTCCTTACCTTCTAAGTTTTATTATAGATATCTACTAGCAGAAGAAATATTGTCATACAGACTTTGAAATCTGCTGCTTGTTTAGACTCCAGAAAATTTTCTAATCTTAAAGACGATCTTTAAATTTTAGTAGTATATACCAGTCCTTCAAAACACGAAATGTTTAACTTTGCCTCTGCCATTTCTTGCTGAGTCAAAATAGTTTCTACATCCTATTCAATTCTTCCACCAGAGAAATAAAGTATCAGTAAGTCTCTCCTCTTTCGCACCTCCATAAAGTGCAGATATGATTTTAAATATACAGGAAAGAAGTGAAAAAAAATGGAAGGAAAAGAAAATAAATCATCATATGCATGTAACTGGTTAGCCATGGGCTATTCTCAGGATCAGGAGACTTTCAAACCTATTTCTGTTTTTATCCCAATTTCCTTCCACCAAATACTGCCAAACATTGTGAAATAAAGCACCTGTAAATCCAAGCCACTTGGTAAACTCTTTATTCCCTCTCATAGTTTGACTACCTTACATTTTTATTCTAACATACATTGAAAGGCAAATAGAAGCAAATGCTGAGCTTGCTCAGTTTGTTTGGAATTTCACAAGATGATGACAAATCTGCTTTTGACATATCAGTTGTTCAACAGAGTGAACAATTGTACCAGTATCAATGGAATGAGCACGTGCCTAACTGCTGAATCAGAGACGAGTTCTTAGAAATGTTAGCTTTCAACTGTTATAGAACAGAAACACTTGTTTCTGTGAGTCCCTGAAAGTACTTGCATCTCACAAAGAAGAAATAATAGGCAAATTCCTGGTTATATAATTACTGTTATTAAAATAGAATGAATCACTGATTTAACAGAACAAAGCCTCAACATAAAATAAAATTTAAAAAACAAACATAATAAAAAAATAAGATAAAAAATATGACTGCTTTCCACTGTACTGATGATTGCTCTAGTGATCATCTAGATTAGGTTTGAAACTGAAAATCTGAATGTCTTTAAAATATAAGAATGCATGGGTGGTAGAGCTGTCCTAAAAACTTCATCTGTTTCTAATTCACAAATGTCTCGTATCTCCAATCACACTGAACTCCATTTGTAGATATATGTCTATATAACTATTCTGTTAAAAGGCCTTTTTGTTGAATATGTTTAAATTCTGAGGAGTGTTGCCTTGATTGTGAAGTGCACTTATTGGACCATCCTGGTATGTAGCAAACTGCAGTGCTATAATGTATATTGGCTTCTGAAGAATATTTGCTCTGAAACAACAGAGAGGAGGTGTGTAAAAGAAAGAAAAAAAAGAAATCATCTTCAGTAACTTCAGTAACTTCAGTAACTTAAGTACTGCGAGTTAAAAAAAAAAAAAGCAATAGAAAAAAGTACACCAAGTACATTGATTAACATGGAATTATCCAAGTAAAGTTTCCAGTTCCTCTGTTTTATAGCCATAAAACCAGAGAACACTCAGCATCAAGGTAAATATCACAACACCACATGTATTAGTGAGAAAAGTCTATATTGCAAACCCATGACATATTTTGTCTCTATTAAGTGTAACTGAATTATTTCTTTCTTCTAATTCTCACATTTCCTCCACATGTTTAAACTAACAGCATTTATTAATAGGTCAATTGTATGAGATTTTAATTTCATTTTTGTTTTAAAAAACATGCAGAATTGACTTTGAAGAATAATTTGGAAGAAAAATGAAGAACACATTTAGTAGCTTTAAAAAAAAAAATTAAAAAAAATTCTATTTGCAATGTAATAATATATGTTTAATAGTTACTGCTTCCTCAGCTATATGTGTCATAATGCACATATATTAATTCATGCTGGTTTAATACACATGCACATGAAAGAGAACAAATCATATCAGCTATCCTTCTCTCTAGCTGCAATAAGCATGGCTGCATATACACCCAAAAAAATCTATCAATCATTTCTGAAAATTGTAGATCTGATCCTGTTCCCTTTTAAGTCTGTGAGAAAAGACTTGGTCTCCTTAATTTCATCACTACCACACAGTGCGATTTACACAGTGGGTTGTGCTTAGGGTAGCATACACCCCATTACCCAAAAGCAGGAAGGATGAACTATGCTTTTTAATGTTGCCTCAGCCATTTTGGCTTTTGCTGACCAGCCATTGATCAGGTACCTGGCAAGAAAAGTGCAAGGGAACTGCTACATTTCTGCCTGCCATTCAAGATGCAGAAGTCACGGCTGTGATCTTGTCCTTTACTCATAAGAAGAGGAGAGACATGCTCTCTAAGCTTCCACTGAGGGATCGTGATTCCTACGAAAAACCTGACAGAAACCAGGCAAAGAAGCAAACAGAAGGAGTGCATCAGTGTATCAGTTACGTCATGGACATCAACTGTCAAACTATCGGCTTTTTTTGCTTTGCTTCAGTTCACTGAAGACCACTGATGCTCAATACCACAAATATATTGTTTGCTCTGGTCTGAAACCTGGACCAGAAATCCAAAGGCACTGAAGATGATCAGTTGTGCTGGGGTTTAAAAACTACAGCATGGGTGTGGCTTAGTCAGCACTACTTGGTCTGGGCCTCTATCTTTTATCTAGGCAAAGATTGCTGATGATGATGTTGGTAAGATTCTTTGGCTTTCAAGATCTAAAGCCTAATCTGAAGTCTACAGGAGCGCATAAAGGAAACAGTGATAATACACTGGAGAATATGGCACCAGCTATGTTATTAATAATACCTATATATTCTGTAAATTTCTCCTTGTATACTTCCAAATTTTATTATAAAATAAACTAGAATTATAAGGTGATGAGCTAGGCCCAGAAATAAACAGTAATTTTTCAGATTATTGCAATTGTCAGAAGACATATTTTAACACAATATTTATTATAATGTTTGAATGTCCCTAGGGTCTGCTACTATAATGGTAATTAATATATTTGGCCCTTTTTAATGTGTTGCTTTCAAACATCTTCAAACACCATACAAGTATTAATGACTTTGACTTCACAAAGCATTTATGATGTAGATGTATTAGATAAGAATCACTGAAGATAATTAACTAGGAAAAAGAACTCATAGAATATCCATTGTAGAGATGAATTTGAAACTGAGATTTCCTTTTCCTTGCTCCCAACTGTGTTACGTGATATTTAACTAGAGCAAGTACCCTCCATAGTAAATTATCCATACAAATAACAAGTTGAATTAATAGAAATTTTCTGCTCTTTCTAGTGGAAAAGAGAGGAAACAATGACACATGTTCTCCCCTGAAATAAACTATTTAATGAAGCAGAAGAGAAGTGCAAAGGGCTGCATATTCAGAAAAATCAACGTCAGAAAGGTCTTTGAAAACGACAACCTGGAAATAAACATGTCAGTGGATATTTCCAATTCTTTTAAGATGTCCCTTCCAAAGGAAAAAAAAACAGTTTAATCTTGCGGATTTTTCTATTTTTTATTTTTGGTTTTGCTTTCCCTCTCCCCTTATTTGTCCCCTCTTCTTATTGCAGGATTTGTGTGCAGAGTCAAATTAGAATTTATAAAAACTCTAAAATTTTGATATAATAATTTGGGTTTTCAAAATCTGCCATTATTGATACTATGAAATTATAAGTCTGAAGATTCAAAAGGGTTTGGTGAGAGAACTATAAAAAATAATAATAAAAAGATTTTAAAATATCTTTGTTAATAGGAAACAAGAAGGAAGTGTTATAAGATAAATACTATGGCAGAGAGGATTAAGTATTGGGAATTGGTGGAACAGCACTAATGAGGGAATGTGCAAAAGCCTAGGGAGAAAGCCAAGCAATAGTAGCTCTAGATGCTGTCTAAAGAGAAAGACAAAAAGAAAACGACAAGTAGACATGACAGGCTAACTGTGGGACACCCAATCTGTGGTTCACACATAAACCCAGAGGGAGGTTAAATCTTATAAAACATACATTGATATCCCCAATTTTGAAGCAGAAAAGACCAGGTAGGGAGCATGACAGATAGTAGAAAAGTATCTTGAAGATACACAATGGACTAAGGATAAGGAATGCTTAGAGAATATATAGGCTTCAACAGATGAATAGAAAAACATCAGCAAATAAAAGAAAGGATGTGATGATTTAAAAAAAAAAATTTAAATAACAAAAAATTCTGAAAGCTTGTCTAAAAGATAGGAATAGGAAAAATCCAAAGGAAAAGCTGTATAGAGGAAAATAGACTCACCTGCAGTTCTGAAAAGAAACCTTCAAATGAGCAGAAAGAGATAGAAAGGTGAAGAAAATGATGTACAGAACAGAAGATTACAGTAAAAACTGTACGAATATTCTGAGTCATAAACTTTGGAAGTAAGGAGAGGAAAAAAGTGAAAGAAGATAAAATGTCTGGTAATCAGTTCAAAGATTTCAGGAGAACAAGACATCTTCTAGGATATTAACCCAACTGCAAGATCCTGAAGTTGACTTATTTATCTCTGCCTTTAGTATGATTAATGAGTAGCTTCTGCTAGAAGACAGATGAAGATGAAGAAAGATGAAGAAGACAACAAAGAATTTATGGACCTTTGTCAAGACACTGTATTTGATAATAATCCACATTCTCAGGTATCAATCTAGCTAATACACAGTCTGAGGAAGAAATCAAAACTTCTCTTACTGGTCTGAAAGAGGCTGGTGTATGGCTACGTCATTATTCGATACCTTGAAGATGAGGGCAGAGGGAGCAGATAGAGACTTAATAGTCTTTTTCTTACCTCTTGAGCCTCTGTAGTACCTTAAAGTATAGGGCATTTTCATTTCTCTCATTATGAGAAGAATGTTGATAGCACACTGATGTTTACAGCTGGCGCTGAGGCCTCAAGGACTTTTCAGCTACCGTGTTCTTGCCAGTGTGCAGGAGCACAACAGGCTGGGGGGGAGCATGGCCGAGACAGAGGGTCCACAACTTTCCTTATGATTTGAACTTAAGATTGAGGGCCAAATTGACCAATTAGTATTCCATATCATGCAGCGTCATGCCCAGTATAAAAGTGAGGGACAGCTGGAAAGAAGGGCTTTTGCTCTTCCAGGGCTCTCACTTTTGAAATCTCAGAGTGCTCTTTCTGTCTCGCTGTCTATTTTCGGGCTTCTCACTCGTCTGGGACTGTGATGTCAGGACTTACCTGTTTTGGGATCATTAGTTGAGGATGGGACAGGCCTTGGTCAAGGGGTGGTGAGCAATTACACTGTGCATCACTAGTTTGTATATATTATTATCATTATACATATCTATATATTCATATATTATTAGTAGTAGTACTAAATTGTTCTTATCTCGACCCATGAGTCTCTTTCCCATCCCCTGGATGTGAGGGAGAGTGAGTGAGCAGCTGTGTGGAGTTCAGTTGCTGGCCGGCCTGAACCATGACAGTCCTTTGAATGTACAGATGAGGAGTAGGACATTTCTTCTTTAAATTTTTGAAACTCCTCAGACAGCTTCTGCACAGCTGAGATGCAAGCCTGTACAGAAGTATTGTCTTCATATTGCTGGAGTCAAGTGACCACATCACCCATGGGTGGTATGTCTTCTCTGAGATCCATTGCTGCCAGTGAACTAGAATATGATGGTGGCACACTCCGTAGAATCTTCTGCCACATTGCAGAAGATGTGCACCGGACGTCATACAGATATTCAGATAACTGTGTGTTTCTCAGGTCATAATAAATCACCTCTCGCATGGCTAGTTTCCTCGGGTACTCGATACCAACTCTCTATGTTGACCCACTTGCCTGGATTACTGGACAGTATCCACCCATTATTCTGTACCGCACACGTCATGCTCAAATCTCACATATATACGTATATACCATTCCCTTAGTCTGTGGGTCATCCTTCCATAAAGTTTGTTGAGTTCATTTAGTCCATTACTCTGGGCTCCTTCTGTCATGGCAGTCTCTCCAGGTAGGAGAGACTATATGTCATCCGTTCTACCAACTGAGTGAATTCCACATCATCTCTCCAGCCCTGTTTTCAAACACTTACAGAAAGGTATTATGTTTCAATATGCTGACACAGGTGAGTGCCACAGAAAGAGACAGATTCAATGCAACAGTACAATTACACCCAAACCTGTAATTTCTGTCTGCATTCCTTACATCAACAAGTCTGATACTTAGTCCATGCCAAAAGTACTGGCCAAGTAATGGGCTATTCACAATACTATAACTGAAAACTAAAATAATCTGAATAGAGTAAAATAGAGCAATGTAGGAATTTCTTCCTATTTTCCTTTTGATGGAGAGGATTTTTTTGATGGAGAATCAAAATTTTCCTTTTGATTTTCCTTTTGTTGTGATAACAAAACTAGTTTTTAACGTTTCTTTTTTTCCATAAATCTCTCAGGTAAGTGTCTGTATTAAAAATGCTTGAATTTTATGATGTCTGAAAAAAAAAAAGATACTGATTTAAAAATGTTTTGTGATTAATTATGTGATATTACATTTAACTATTATACAAATACATGGAGACTTTTTAACACACAGTTTCAAATTACTAGTGAATTCTATTTGCCTCAAAAGTTTTATGTAGTTTGATCCTTAGAACATTTCTCCCCTCTCCATTCAGCCTTTGGTTTTGAGATTAGAGAGTAAATTTAAGTTGGAAAATTAAATTAGTGTTAAGAAGAAATGAATCAACTTTGAGAAGTACCTTACAAAATCACGTCAACTACTCATGGACCACAGATGAACACATGCCTCTAGATGTCAGTCAGAAAGCTAAAAGTCATAAAGCTAAAAGCAAATTCTACTTATCAGGCAGTTAGTACGTCTAGCAGCTGAATGGCCGCATTTATAAAATCCAGGAACAAGATATGTTTTAACCTAGTTACAATTCTTCAAATTATTCTCATTTTATTGACAGAACAAAGTATGTTCATTTCAACACAACTATTTGTGTAAAATATAGGGTTAATATTCTAAAGACATCCAAATGGATGTCTTAATAGTGGATGTCTTAATATTCTAATATTTAGAATATTAAGGGTGGATGAACTACTTAGGGATATGGTTTAATGGGGGATTAGGGATGGTTGGACTGGATGATCTCTAAGGTCTTTTCCAACCTAGAAATCTATGAAGTTTTTTGTTGGTTTTTTTACCCATTAGAGTAGTTTTTTGGATATTTTTCTTATCAACTTATCTCTTTCTCTTATCATGTTTTTGTTTTGTTTCAATACAGTAAAATTTGCACTTTCAGAATTTATATGATCTATGTGGACATACAGATACATTAGAACCTCACATCCTGAATATTTTAGAATCATTGAAATGTCTTGGATGCTTAAGAATACTTAAGAAAAATATTATCTAATTTAGACTGACAAAATTTGGAATCAATAGATTACAACTGAATGTTATATAATAATATATAGTATTTAACAAAAACATTGAATGATTTTAATAAAACCTTTCCAAGAATATTTTAAGCAATGTCTTATGAAAGTTACAGAAACAACATGAGAAATTAAGTGAAAGCTCTGAGATGTCTTTTTTCAACCCTACTGTAATCTTACCCCATGCCTCTAGAAAATGCAGCAATGCTCTTTCAAGATGCTCTGCTTAAAATTATATACATTTACTGAAATGCGTGATTCTAGAGAACTGATCAGTAAATTAATAAATCAGTATTACATTTTGTTCTATTTTGGAACAGTAAAGAAAGACAACTTTTCAGTTCTCTACTTTATGTGGACAAATTTGATACGATGTTAGTACAGCCTTATGCGAGATTGAAATATCTTACTAAGAATAGAAAATTATTAGTATGATGCTTCCACACATTGCTGCACAGCTTTGGTGAGGCAATTCTCTTTCAATAATTATTATATATTTTCTTACTCTTCTAACACGTTTCAATGACCAGGAAGCTAAGTACTGAAACTTCAATACCTGTATATATAAAACATATCAAAACACTGGTTGATCTAGTTCAGGCAGTGGTAATAATTAAAATAGTGCTAATAGCCAAAAGTAGTATCAAAGTTATTATGTGATTTCCAAATATTTAGGAGTTAGTATTGTATCTACAGTTATACAATGAATAAGTGAATACTAATTTCAAAAAAGAGACTCTATATATTGTTTAGCTTTCAAAAATTCTTCTTAAAGTATCATACGGGCTAATTACTAATAGCTCATTTTCAAAAATGTTATTGCTTATGAATCTAATCAACTGGCATGATCCAGGCTACAACTTTGTAGTTAATACATTGCAAACAGAAGAAAGATTAACTGAAACAGCTGTTTAAGATTCTTGAAGTTGCCATTCATGTGTGAGTTAAAGGAGGAATTGAAAGCACAAGAGGATTTGGCCATGCACTAAAAAACTGAAAGCAAAGAGAATAAAGAAGGTGTCTACCTTCAGACAGTGCATGAACAGCACATGAGTAAACATATAACTTTCCTCAGCCACAGAAAGGATGAAAGTGGAGACAGTTCTCCATTCAGTGGTTATCACCACTGGGGACATCCAGTGAAAATGAAAAGAAAAGTTCATTGAGCTTTCAAAAGGTTAATTCAGTGATCTTATTCTAACAATTCTTAAGGAGGAAGGTGATTCACCTTTAACTGCTTTCTACTTATATTTATATTCCAAGTCACTGTAAATCAATAATTTGAATATTCTAAGTAGAAATAGACCTCAAATCACAAAAAATCTGTTTCTACATGCAATTCAAAATTTGAATGAACAAACCAAAATGATAAATACTTAACCCATGAGGTACAATTCTGAACATGACTGACTTTTCAGAGGATGGGGAAATTATTCATCAAGTAACGTAGAGTGGGCATCTGTACCTCAGTATAAAGCACTTACCCACTACTGACATTTCAGGAACACTAGCAGTGTAAATTTCTTCCGGAAATGTTGGTTCATTGTCATTGATGTCATGGATTTTGATGACAAATTCAGATTCAGGCTCCACTGGTCTCAGAGTTCTTCTATTAATAGCTTGGGCACGCAGGGTGTAAAAGGCTTTCTCTTCCCTGTCAATTCTCCGAGTAGCATGAATGTCACCTGTTTTCTCATCAATTATAAAAAGAGTACCAGCTCCATCTCCTGACAAAATGTATTTGAGGGATCCATCTCCCTTGTCCTGGTCAGAATGAAGCTGAAAAGGAATAAAAATAGGAATATTTTATTTAGAAGTAATGAAAAGTTGCTGGGTTGTTCTATTTTTGTTTTGGTTTTGATTTTAGTTTTAATAATTGTTATATATGAAATTATTCTGAGTGCAATAAACATGTTTAATACCAACAAAACAAAGTAATTTTCAGTCACAATTGACTGGCAGTTATGGTGTCATACTGAGGCATTTGTTTCCTTACTTAGCTCCAAGAATCTTTTAACTTGACTGTTGTGGCAGATTTTAGTTTTACAGCAACACCTGTTCTCTGCTAAGAAACCTTTGCACTGCAATTCTTAAAGAAGATTTTTATGTTAATACTGACCTTTTCCTTTCTTGAAGCAATCCTATTAAAAATTCACAACCTGCTGTGCTAGTTGTAAATTCACTAAGCAGATAAAGAACATGACAACTAAGGAAAATAGAACAACTGGTTCCATGTCATGCTAAATTCTTTTAATTATTATTTCATTTCATATTGTTTATATTTCTCCTAAATCGGAGAAACTTTCATTTTAAGTCATTGTTATTTTCACTTCATTAACTAATGAAAATAGCCTAAAGGAAAGAGATCTATTAAGCATTCAGTATTGATTTAATACCTGTTATGTAAGTAATATAAAGCTAAACTTCATCTATTAATGACCTGTAGTACTAACTGACTTCAGAATATCCATAGCTAAAAATAATATTCAATTATGTTGCTTTGTTCACCACGGTAATGCGGTTGGCTCATTTGATCTTTTGGGTACACTTACCATAATTTCTCTTGTTAACTGAAAAAATCTGGCATTCAGATTTATTTTCACCATGAAATGTATATTTTTTTTTTATTTTTACATTTAGCAGAACACTCAAATCAAGTAAAAAGTCTGATTACAAAAATGAAGTGGAAATATAAAGACTTTTGAAAAATCACACTCAAAAGCTACCAGAATGTTCCAAAAAGTTTAAGATAGAGCTAGTACATTTTTTCCCTTTCTAAAAAGTTATTTGAACACACATTAACAACATCAATTAGAACCACAGTAAGATCATATTTAATCATGTAAAGGGTTTTTGAGAATTTAAGCTCGCATTTCAGGTCATGAAAACCATTATGTATGTAGCTCAGTATAAATATCCCCCTTGGCATGCAGTTATGGAAATATTTCTCTTTATTTGAATATGATGTCCTCGAATTATCTTTCATAGCATCTAATTTAAGTCAGTATCAGAGGTAGAATATTGAACTATTAGGGTTTTGAATGTGACTTTCTTTGATTTTTGTGCTGAAACCAAATATATACAATAGAGTGAGGGGATAAGTTGAAGTCAAACAGTAGCCTTCTCTTCTGTGAAACATTTTAAAATACTGAATATTTCCCACACACTTGCAAAATATGAAACAGAATGAACTCATGTGGAATCTTGGATCAAAGACTTTATGATAGTTCGAAAACTTTCATTGTTCTAAACTTTGATTTTCTATATAAAGGCTTTCCTGTTTTCTTTCAGTTCAGAAATAAACCTTGAGAAACACTGTAAATATTTATCAAAGAATGACAAATTAAACTTTGCTTACATTACACATAACTATGTGTATGCTTACTTTACAAAATACAGATTTTCATACTACTTTCTTTATTTAATTCCATAACAAATAAAGAAATAGGATGCTCCAGAAAACATGAAGAGTAGGAAAGTAGATGTTAAGAGAATTTTTTTGCAAATAAATCCTATTCTTTCTTTTCATGCTGTTTGTCTTGCTGACTTCAAACTGAAGGCCTCAAATAAGTCTCATTCCCCTTTTGGGGAATGAATTTTTACTGTGAACTGTAATCCCTCATGCTCTTCTCTTGATGACTCATTAAAGTTGTGACCTTTCATCCTTCTAAGTAACATTCTTTTTAGGTGATTGGACAGTATCGTGCAGACTGTGGCCCATTTTATAATGTCGTTTAGTGTAACTAGTCCTCAAAATCCTATCAAGTGTTTTCTTCTCCAGATCTTCCTAGGATACCACATTATCTTCAAAAACGTTTTGGTCCTAATATCTCACTGGTGGTCCATGACCACTAGATACAATATTTTCACAGAAGAGTCATGAAGAGCAGTTGTAGGAGGCTGCTCTTCATCAGACCTGTGCACCAGAAATACAAAATAAAGGCCTATTTGAGCAAGAAAGATTGGGGGGAAAAATAATCTTTAAATGGGCACAGTGCAATTTTCTTATATGCTTTCCAAAGTCAGATATAGTATTTAAAATTCTTACCAAAGCTGACAACATTATATTGAGGCTTCAGTGCCTGTTCTTTAACTCAGAAATCAGTTAGCAGAGTCTGTCAAAATTCATTCTAATAACTTCCCTATCTCCAGAAGAGCATAACCTCATGCAAACTGTTCCCAGGAATAGCATCTAGCCAAATTTAACTCACAAATCATGCAGGGAAATTGTTTTGGAGACTGATATTTAGCAAAAGCATGCCAGGACCTTGCAAAACAATTAAACAATGCCAATAACTAATGCTTCTAGTGCCTGGGAATGTTATCTGGCACTAGAAGCACAAAAGCAGCGTAGCGAAGAGAACTAAATCAGAAAATGAAGAAAATCCTGACACTTCAAAATGTGAAGCTTTTGAACAACTATATTTACATCCAGTTCAAGATGTAAAGATTTTTTAACATACTTTTTTGTATAATAGGTAAGGTACTATTGATGTTGATGGTTTTCCATTTCTTCTCCTGTAGCTATGTGTATGTCAAAAATTCTTATTAAGTTTTTACATCACTCACAAAATCATTAACCTCTTATCTCTCCCAAATTCAAGCTTTATAGATTGTTTACCACGTATATTAACCAAAAAACTGGAAAGAGAGCTGTATATAAGATTTTGAGACATTCAGATAAAGTCTTTTAGAGAGCTGATAGTTGCACTTCAGAGTAGCATACTTAGAAGGAATACCAATCTGCATAGTTTAGAAGAATACTTTAACACAGTCGTTGTAGAAAAACTTCAAATTCAGAATGACATTTCAGAAGGTTTTCTTGGGTGATCAGGAAACACAAAGCTATAGACAAAAGGAACAAGGCTTCTAGATATAATTAAAAGAGTGAAAATAATGTATTATATATAAGCAAGGAAAGACAATATCTCTCATGCCATTTTTCTTAGCTCTTAATTCAATCCAGATATTATTAGACGAATCAAGATGGCTACGGGCTGCCCTATGTGCTTGACAGCCTTGAACACTGAATCTTTACCCAACTCTGAAATGCATAAGCAGTGTGTCAATCAGCACTGCAAAGTTTTGTCATTTTACTCTAGTATTAAAATAAGTCCTGTGAAATATTTCTCTGCTACTTTTAGTATAAAGTGTTTCCTATAGTTATTTCGGCTAATGGGCATCTGTGATGCATGTCAGCCAAGCTGAGAAATGGAGAGACATCTGTTTCATTTAGTAATTTTATTGCACAAAACGATCAGCTGTGAAGATGTGGTTTTGTTTTCATATCTGTCACTAATATTATGAAAACTTTTGCTTCAGTGAATTTCTTGCTGTTCTTCCACAGAAATACTTCCCTTTTCAGCTGTCAGTGTTATATATATTTCATATAAAATATTTCTCACTGTATAGAGAATCAGAATATCTCTTGGCTTGATTTTATATAGCCCTGTTCCATCATACAGTAATTGCAATTACTGTGAAGGACAATTTTGCATATTTAGTCATCTGTCTAAACTGGTTGAACAAACTTTTAGATTGAGAAGGATTTCATATGAATGAATGAGGGTAACAAAATGGAGCGCTGTGTGAATACTTAAAAAAGAAACTGAGTTGCCAGTCCGAGAGAAAAATAGGTTTTAAAAGATGAATTTAATTAAAATATAATACCTTGCTCTTCAAGGTAAATGCAACCATAAATAAAATGACTTAATAAAAAGATGCCACAAGGTAATTCAGCTCAAAATCTTTTTAGATCTGTAAAAGATATTTGTAAAAGGCCTTTGAGAATGCTTTAGATGAACAACATAATAATTCTGCTTTAAAAATGACTTGAAAATTGCAACATGGGAGTTCTACGTTAATTGACTTCCAATGATTCAAGTCAAACCTCCCAATTGCAAGAGTGTAGGTTTTCATTTCCTCCTCACCCCATGAATTCCACTCAAATCTGAAATCTCCTAATTGAATATTAAGGTTGTAGACTGTTTTCTAATAGCATACAAAGTGTTAATGTTATTTTCATCAAAAAAAGGCAGAAGATGCTACTGTGAAAAACAGAGAGCAGATTAGGTTAGCAGACTCATTTTATCATACAAAAAACTTCTGAAATTTGAAATTATTTATGAAAATGCCAGATAAAGACTTTAAGATTTGTCATACCTATTTCTGTCTGAATTTCAGATTCAGAAGTCTCTCCACGAATTTTCAGTGATTGGTATTCAGATGACTAGAGACCAGAATATGACTGTATTAACAAACCACTATTCAGGTTCAATTGTTACTGTAGGCATTAATACAAGTTCAAGTATGTTTGTTTGTTTGTTTTTTTAAACTTAATTTAAATTGCTATAATTTATAGGAGACTTTCCACTCCCATTTACATTTTTTTTTGCAGTCGTTACCAAATGGTAGACTATTCCAATATCATCTCACTAAACACATTTTAACTTCTACTTTATAATCTTTTTTATTTGTATAATCTAGAAAAAAAATTTATACTTTCTTCTGCAATATATTTGTCAACATTTCAGTTCAATCCAACTATCACAGTAACAATGAGACCTCAGTACACTCCGGAATTACTCTATCTTTTAGATTTTATTAAAATAAGTCCTGAATTTCTCCTAATTCTAAGGACAAATTTCCAGGCAAAATGTAACCTATTAGCTCTTTTCTAAGTAATCATATTAGCCATTGATGCCAACATACACCTGTGGAAGCATTTACAATTTCACTCTAAGCACAAACTATAATATTACCACCTTCACTGGATACTT